TCTGGACAGCTACATGTAAAAGAATGAAATTAGAACACTCCCTAACACCATACATAAAAATAAACTCAAAATGGATTAAAGACCTAAATGTAAGGCCAGACACTATCAAACTCTTAGAGGAAAACACAGGCAGAACACTCTATGACATAAATCACAGCAAGATCCTTTTTGACTCATCTTCTAGAGAAATGGAAATAAAAACAAAAATAAACAAGTGGGACCTAATGAAACTTAACAGCTGTTGCACAGCAAAGGAAACCATAAAAAGACGAAAAGACAACCCTCAGAATGGGAGAAAATATTTGCAAACGAAGCAACTGACAAAGGATTAATTTCCAAAACTGACAAGCAGCTCATGCAGCTCAATATAAAAAAAATAAACAACCCAATCCCAAAATGGGCAGAAGACCTGAATAGACATTTGTCCAAAGAAGATATACAGATTGCCAACAAACACATGAAAGGATGTTCAACATCACTAATTATTAGAGAAATGCAAATCAAAACTACAATGAGGTATCACCTCACACCAGTCAGAATGGCCATCATCAAAAAATCTACAAACAATAAATGCTGGAGAGGGTGTGGAGAAAAGGGAACCCTCTTGCACTGTTGGTGGGAATGTAAATTGATACAGCCACTATGGAGAACAGTATGCAGGTTCCTTAAAAAACTAAAAATAGAACTAACATACGACCCAGCAATCCCACTACTGGGCATATACCCTGAGAAAACCATAATTCGAAGAGAGTCATGCACCAAAATGTTCACTGCAGCTCTATTTACAATATCCAGGACATGGAACCAACCTAAGTGTCCATCGACTGATGAATGGATAAAGATGTGGCACATATATACAATGGAATATTACTCAGCCATAAAAAGAAACGAAATTGAGTTATTTGTAGTGAGGTGGATGGACCTAGAGACTGTCATACAGAGTGAAGTAAGTCAGAAAGAGGAAAACAAATACCGTATGCTAACACATATATATGGAATCTTAAAAAAAAAAAAAAGGTTCTGAAGAACCTAGGGTTAGGACAGGAATAAAGACACAGACATAGAGAATGCACTTGAGGACATGGGGAGGGGGAAGCGAAAGCTGGGATGAAGTGAGAGAGTGGCAGGGACATATACACACTACCAAATGCAAAACAGGTAGCTAGTGGGAAGCAGCTACATAGCACAGGGAGATCAGCTCGATGCTTTGTGCCCACCTAGAGGGGTGGGATAGGGAGGGTGGGAGGGAGATGCAAGAGGGAGGAGATATGGGGATATATGTATATGTATAGCTGATTCACTTTGTTATACAGCAGAAACTAACACACCATTGTAAAGCAATTATACTCCAATAAAGATGTTAAAAAAAAAAAAAGACCTATTTGGCAGGCAAATATGATTATTAAGTAGAGCAAGCCCAGCCTTCCAACAGCCCTGGGATGGTTTGGGCTATGAACAAGCAATAATATTTACTTATACAAAAGCATCTAGTAAAAATAAAAATACAGAGAAACTATTCAGTGCCAGGCACTACATGTTCTATGCTCTCTCACTGGATCTTTACAGCAACCCAATGAAGTTGGTATTATAAATTTCACATATAAGGAAACATGCTCAGACATGTGAAGTGACTTGACTGAAGTCACACTACTAGAACTGGTATCTGAACCAGTTCAGATGTCAAGTCTCCTTGACATCAAAGCCCATGATCTCGCTACTATGCCACCAGCGCCCCCAAGCATGGTATTTTGTTCCAGAGGAAGAAAGACTCACCATCTGAAAATGTTCGAACAGCAACATCTTGTGTGGAGACTCCAGGACCATGTTTATTGTAGGCCACCACTCGGAAACTATACTCTGTATATTTTTTCAACCCGTTAATGGTGTGGGAGTGACTTGAAACATCAACATCCTTGAATAAAATAAAACAATTTATATATACACAACTCAAGCCAAAAGAAATGCTGCAAAATAAAGAACTATACAAATTCTATATTTGACATAATGCAGATTTTTGTCCCTTTTACAGAATATTATTTAACAGTTAAAGCAAATTAATCATAAGCACTGCAGTTTGCTGAGAAATACTCCTTGGTGTTTAGGAGCCCTTGCTGGCAAAAACTACAGAATAAACCTTTGTACCAGGAAATAGAATCTATCAACTTTTCATTTCTTATACATATTTTTTTCCTCAGATTTCTAGACAAGCAGGTATTGAGTTTAGGAAATATATTTCAACTCTACTATTCCAATCAATGCATTAAAAAAATGGCTTCCTATTATACCTGTTCTTTATCAGTTCCTTTTTCCATGTAGTACAGTTTGTAATTCTGAATTTCCCCATTTCCAGACAATGGTGTTTCCCAGGTGACAGTAATGGAAGTAGGTGAAGTTGCATACGCTCGGATGTTAGGTGCTGGGCCAGGGAGCTGAACTAGAAAGAAAATTTCAAGACAGTAAGACATAAATAAAATTTACTGCATCCCTCAAGACCATTCTCAGCAATAATGGCACACTATGGTTTTTTTTTTAATTTAATTAATTAATTATTTATTTTTGGCTGCGTCCGGTCTTCGCTGCTGCACGTGGGTCTTCTCTAGTTGCAGCGAGCGGGGACTCCTCTTCATTGCGGTGCATGGGCTTCTCACTGAGGTGGCTTCTCTTGTTGAAGAGCATGGGCTCTAGGCACGTGGGCTTCAGTAGTTGTGGCATGTGGGCTCAGTAGTTGTGGCTTCCAGGCTCTAGAGTGCAGGCTCAGTAGTTCTGGCACACAGGCTTAGTTGCTCCGCGGCATGTGGGATCTTCCCGGACCAGGACTCGAACCTGTGTCCCCTGCGTTGGCAGGCTGATTCTTAACCACTGCGCCACCAGGGAAGCCCTGGCTATGTTTTTAAAACAATAAAAACTACGAAAACAAGCGTTCTGACTGAAGTGGTTTCAGGATAATATCTAATTAAATGATTTCCCTCTTTATGACTGAAAAACCAAAAATCATCTGTGATGTATCTCAAATTTATTCAAAGAAAAAAGTGAACAGTGCAGAATTCTTCTTGTGGTTTATAAAATCCTAGTTTTGCAGTGGGACTGAAGCACATAAAAGCAAACATCACAAAAAGAGAGCCTTCTTTTACCAGGCTCTGGGCATACAATGAATGATGGACAGAGTCCCTGCCCACAAAGAACTCCCAGTCTAGAGGGAAGTCAGACATACAGTTACAAAGAAGATCCTAAGTGCTGATAGATTAGGTAACGTCTGTAATGAAAACTGAAAGAAGAGAGTACATAATTCTGCTTTGGGTGGGGGTGGTTACAAAAGGGAAGGATTGGTGAGGACTTCCGGGGAGCAGGAAGAATGAGTAGTTTTCTCAGACACCAAGAGGGAAACTGATCCAATCAATTTGGACATAACAGGTAAGAAGACAGTGTCATGTGGTTCAGGGTGAAACAAGAATGGATATGGGAGAAAGAATGCTGCAAAGGATGACAAGAGCCAGATAAAGGAGAACCTCTAAGGCCCTGCTATGAGTTTGGATTATTTCTTGCAGGTGTTAGGTAATTACTGAAAAATTTTGAGCAGGAACATGACATGATCAGATCTGCATTTAAAAAGAACATGTGAAAACATGCATGGAAGAAAAACAATAATGGCACAAGACTAGATAAATAATAATTTTAAAAATAGCCACCATTTATTGAATGCTTGCAATCAGTCCAGCATTAAGTGCTTTACATTTATTTAAATTACATCTTATTTAATCTGTGCACTAACCCAAATGAGACGGATACTGTTATCATCCCTACTTATGGATGAGGCTGAGAGGTTAAGAACCATTCCCAAAAGATGGAAAAGTTGGCGGGTAGTGGAGCTAGGAGCTGAGCACTTCCTCGTTCTAAAACGTGGACTCAGGAAAACCAGTTAGGGGATTATGACAACACCCTCTGTGGGATGATGTGACTGGAAGATCCCACGATTGGCTGACTGACTGTCTGCCCAGCTCTAAATCCTACAACAGCTCACATCCTTTATTACTATATTCTTTTTGTCTGACTGACAGGTTCCAGTCCCAGTTTATACACAAATCCTGGCAGGTGCCTATATCTACACTTTGGTGGATACTCTGTATCTGAAAACCATTTCTCTGGTGCCACTGCTTCTGTAACAGACATCCATTAGATTTAAGGAAAGGGGGAAAAACGAACAAAATGTACAACAAGCTGGCTTGCTTAAATAACAGCATGACAGTTGAAGATTCGTTTTCCTACCAAAGCAGAGAAACCTGAATATGGTTTTCTGGCAGTTGTTTGCTTTATTTAGGCATGAATCATGTTATTCACTTAAGAGCATATTTTGTGCAGCCTGACAGGTGGGAATTGTTCACACTTCTGCTGCTATGGAAAACTTTCCCCTAACTTTTTAAAAGGGAAGGAGAACAGAACAAATTCCCTTGAAATCACTTTCAGTATATTCATTGGCTAAATGTAGGCAAAGATGATCCTAAAATAGGAGCTAGTAAATTCTTTCATTTCATCTGTACAGTGGCATTAAAAAATGGAAAAAAATTTAAGTTGGTTTGAAAAGCTAAAAATGTAAACTATTTTCCCAAGGCTGACTCCCACACTTACGGCCCCTCCCACCTGCCCCCAAGCTGAATACCTCCAGATAAAATGCAAATCTCTCTCCACTAACTCCTCTTTTGCCAAAACATGTTATAGTCACTCTCTACCCCTAAAATACTCTCACCAGAATCTGCTGACCCTTCCATCTATATTCTTATTTAGCTACTTTCGTTTAATCGAATTCCTTGAATAAATGATTGTGCTGCCTACTTTCCTTGTGATGACTGTACATCACATCATTGCCCGTTTACTTGTCTGGTGCTGGTACCAAACTGTAAGCTCCTTGTGAACAGAAGTCAAGTCTTACTCGTCTTTACATCTTGCTGCCTAGCATGGTGCCTGGCACATGACAGGCACTCAATAAATCTCTTTTTTCATCTCTAACTTGACAATGCCCCTTCTAGTCCAGTGGTTCTCAATAGTTTGACTTGTAAGTTCTGAAATGATAATGAAAACCACAGGCTCTTTCCCAAGGAAAATGTGAAGATGTACAGACACACAAATATTTTCATGTATCTTCAGAAGGTTCATGGCCCCAGGATTGAACCCTGAAACTGAATCAAATTCAGTGGTCTTTTCCTTTACTTTCATCATGACTCACCTTGCATGTGCACTGTTTGTCCTATTTTGGGGTGGGGTCAAGCAGTGTCCTTCCCCAAGAATGCTTGCTCTAAGCCAAATGCTTTAAGGCCAACCTCAGGTCTCATCTTTTTCTAGGAACCTGACTTGATATACCTAACTTTTACAGTAACTCTTCCTTGTTCTGTATTCCATTATCTCTCATGAATGACGCCTGTATGTGAGAGTTAATGAAGGAAAATTGAGTTTTGCTTCGTGGCTTGAGTGTGAAATCTAATAGAGTTCCTGCTCTCATCTGAACACAGTAACCATGAAATTCAACATCCTTTCCCTGCAGCAAGAACACATTCTTTCCTTAAATCAACACCGCCCCGCCCCCCCCGCCCCCTGCTCTCTGTTGGGCCTCTTGTTTTTGCTTGGATTTGATTCCTGATCTTTAAGCTCTATTACTGGAATGATCAATGGCCTCCTATATTGACTGCTCATTCTTTAAGGGGAGAATTCCTATCTTGTCCATCCTCTGCATCTCTTATAGTTTTTGCAATGCCTGGTAGAGGAGGTCCTCAATAACTGTTTGACGGGTAAATGATTTGCTGCAGCATTAGAAAGTGAAGTTCCACAGCTTTTCGACTTCACCTATTCTACCCATCAGGCAGAGTCCTTGAATTATTTCCATAGTTTCAGCGGTAAATTCATTTAATATGCTTAGTTCCCTGGTCAGTAGCTTTCATGAATTTATCTCCCATGCTCCCTAGCTGAAGTAAAATTTTGTTACTGCAAGTTTGTTAATACAGAAACACTAGTGCAGTTAACAGTAAAAGAAATCTGGAGAAGGATCCAAGGAAAAACAGTGGCTCATGTTAAAAGGTAAAAGTGTAGAAGAAAGCCTCATGAGATAAGCATTAATTCTGATTTGACTGCTTCTTGTCATTTCTGGCCTATAGTTTAAAACCAAAATTTAAGACACAGAAGACATTTCTAAGATAAATCAACTTGACACTCATTTCAATTGGAGAAAATCTTAAGAAATGTAACTGGAAGTAACATTATTTAGCACAAAAGACAGCAGGTCCAAAGTAAAGCCCTGAAGAGATTCCAAAGAGTGTGGTATGTATAAAGATCAGGGCAATCCCGTTGAACAATGATTAAATACCTACTTCCTATGTGAGGCACTGCATTAGATATGGTGGGAAATAAAAGGATAGAAAAGACTCTGTCTTTGCCATAAAATTAATGAGATATATTCATAACCATAATTCAAGGAAGAAAATGATAATGTATCTTAGGACTGTCGAGATACAATATTAGATAAGATCAGAGGGAAGGTTCTAGGAAGGCATCTGAGCTAGTCTTAAAGGATCAGTGAAATTTGGGTGTCTATCAGCAGAATTATATTGTCTTACACTATTTGCTACTGCTTGATGTGAATTAATTTGATCTCCCGTAACTATTTTGTAAGGACCTTGAAGGTGAGGAACTGTTATCTTCTGCACTCCTATGGTATGCCAGGCTATATATAAGGTAGCCCTTCATACAGGTCTCCCTATAGGTGGGGCTGACAGAGAGGTGGGAGACTTACCCTCAGGCTGTGTTTCTACTCGTAGTGGAGCTGAACTCTCTCCGGAGCCATGTTTATTTTGAGCCATAACTCTAAAGATGTACACAGTCGCTGGCATTAGGTTTTGGATGGTTACCTGCATTTCTCCGGGGCGACTGGTATTTTCAACACGTTCCCTTTGGAGAAAGAGGGATCGATTAGGAAAATTTCCAGAATGTGCAGTTTCATTTTCATTGTAATGCCTATAGATACCATATGACATCAAAATCTTAATAAATCTAAGTCAAATTGACTCTCAAAAAAGGAAACTTTTGGGGGCGAAACAGTGCACAGAATATGGACGCTGGCAAAGAGCAATGTCATACATGTCTGATAAATCGCTGGTGTTCTTGCTTAAACATTACTGATATTGCTGGCTATAATCACAACTTCCTTTCAGAAAAGACACAAAGAGTCTTCTTGGTGCCATCTCAAATGGGGCAGCTGGTCACCAATTCTGTACGCTTTAGGAATCACTGAATTTTAAGGGATTATCCTCAGGGAGACATATAGAAGGTAATTATAGGTATGACCCAATTTTCACGGACAGTATCAAAGGATGCTGTGTATCTTCTGGATAACAGACTCTCAATAAAAAGAAAATTAGAGATTATCACTTTCAAAACTGAGAACAAAACATTAACAATTTAAATGAATCCAGTCTATAAAATAAGCTCATCATGACTCTGATCTTATTTTATTATTATTATTTTTTTTGCGGTACGCGGGGCTCTCACTGTTGTGGCCTCTCCCGCCGCGGAGCACAGGCTCCGGACGCGCAGGCCCAGCGGCCATGGCTCACGGGCCCAGCCACTCCGCGGCATGTGGGATCCCCCGGACCGGGTCACGAACCCGTGTCCCCTGCATCGGCAGGCAGACCTCCAACCACTGAGCCACCAGGAAAGCCCATGCCTCTGATTTTTATAATTTATTTCTTAAAACAAAAAATCTTCTTGAATGATTTTCAAACTGATTTGAAATGTTTAACAAACCTTATCACAAACAGTACAAATGGCCAGTGGTCTAGTGTTATGAGATGAAAACATAAAAACAGTTATCAGGTAGGTTCTTAAAAAAGGTGGCCTCCAGGCTCTATTTTGGGGGTCTCTGTGTCCACACTTGGGCCCATAATTATGCTCAGTATACTGTACTCACTCACTATAACAAAAACCAGATTATATTTGCTTTCAACAAATATTGTAAAGGAAAATAATTGCTTTAGACAAATAGCTGGTCTTTAAGAATTACTGATCATGTGAGGAAAGATCTGTGGCTATCTTGAGAGAGCAATAAAAGGGCCCAAAACTACTCTGTGGAAGAAATTATTTAAAATTACCTAATAATCTGTTGAATTAAATTCTTACTTTAAAATACTGATAATTTTCCCTGAAGCTACTGATTAAGATTTGTTTAGTTCTACGTGACCATATGCCAATTTGTCTGATTGTGTGTGAACATCTGCATTTCGGAGATGTGAGCGTTTTTCAATAGTTTTCTATAGTTCTTTAAATTATGTTATTTTAATTAAAACAAACAAACAGTACCCACCCACAACGTATTTATAAAGGTTGTCTGTCTACAGTCAGTTAGGTCCATTGGAAAAGAATATCATGGTAATAAAAGTTATTGCTCAGAGACACTTGGGATATCTATAGATATTATTTTCTCTTCAGCTAAACCTCTAAATCACAAGATTTAGAAGGAGAGTATCAACTGACTTCTTATGCTGTGAGGTTTCTGACACTTGATCCAATTACAAATGCCGTCTAAAAGGAAGTATGGTATTTGACATTTCATTAAACTAACAGCTCCACGCCAGAGCACAGAATAGTCTGTTTCGCTCACTGTACATGAAACTTTAAACAAGTTCTCTCTCAGAAAGACAGCGGGGGCGGGGAGGGGGGGCACTATCTTACTTTAAATAAAAGTGAAAGAGTGTTCATTCATGTTCACATACCACAGAAGCACTAGCAGAAGGCTCACACACAGAAGTACCATCGCAAATGTGTACTGAACGAATGAATGGAAATTTGCCTTTTGATGTGTAAATGATATACTAATGATATCACGTTTATCTTTTTGTTTGTTCCTATGTAAAAGGGGAAAATACCTAGAACAAATTTCTACAGAAGCATTACAATAAGAAAAAATCAGTAGTAGGTATGATTCCCTAAGATGAAACATCTAGCACCTGAAAAGGCTTCTAACAGTAGATTGGTCTGAGGTCCCAGAACCAAGTGTCTGTCTAGAAAAAAACTTTTGACTTCAGGAAAGATCCAGGGTGAGTTATGAAGGACAATTCTCATAAATGTGTGAGGTTACGATGGGTCTTAGGTTAGAATGTCTTAGCTAAGAGTCAAAAGAGAAAGAAAAAGATACACTTTATACTAAGACAGTGCTGGGCCAGAAGTTAGGAGCTCCAATTCTAGTTCTGGCAACACTACTAGCTTGCTAGGGAATAGTAGGAAAGTCACCAATTCTTTCTGGGCTTCAGTTTCTTCATGTATTAAATGAAAGAATGAGCCCAGGGTGGTGAACTTTTTCTTAAAGGGCTTGATAGTAAATATCTACAGGCCAAGATGCCAAATGAAAAATATTACCAACCATCTCCACAGTTAAAAATCCAAGTATAACTTTAGTTGCTCCTCCCTATCCACAGTTCTGAATCTGGGAATTCAACCAATTGTGGATCATGTAGTACTGTACCATAGTACAGAAAAATCCACATATAAGTGGATGTGTGCAGTTCAAACCCATGTCGTTCAAGGGTCAACTGTAGTTACTTGTATAACCTATTAAAATGTAACCGTTTGAAAATGTAAAAACTATTCTTAGCTCTTGGGCCATAAAAATAACAAGTTTGATTTGGCCCAGGGTCTATAGTTTGCCAGCTCCCAGACTAGACTAACAGATATGTAAGGCTTTGTCCAACTCTAAGATGCTATTAATTTCTGGAATAACTTACGCTGTACTTTCCATTTGGTGGCTAACAGAAAATACTGCTGTTTACATTAAAGGCATTGAAAAAAAAAGGTGAACATTTCATAGGTGGAATGGCAGAGGAAGAACCCTCTGGAATTTCAGGAAACTCAGGTACCCAACAGAATTATATAGCTCATGACCAAGGCACATAATGCCACCTGGTGGTTGAATTATCAAATGCAGGAAGTAGGGGAATTCGTAAATGCAGGCAGCGGCATATATCCTCACATCGAAATGTTTTAAGTCTATGAAGATAATGTCTATGAAGACCTTCATTTTTTAGATGAGAAAATTTAACTTATAAAGGTTAAATAAGTTTTGTTTATAAAACAAGTAACAGGGATCTAGTCTTTGACTTAGTGTTATTTCTATTCTTTCATTGCTTCTATTCAGAAATCATAAAGTAATGAAGCGACAAAAATTATTATTACAATCTCCAAGAATATTCCTTTGAAATATTCCCCAGATTTATTGTCTGTTCCAAGTCACTGCTGTCATCTTCATCTGGGCCTACCACATGCCTAGATCAACCTAACTACTACTGATCTGTCTCCCTGACTCCACTGCTTTTCCTCTCTAATCTTATGCAGTACCCTCCAAGTACTGCTAATAAAAGCTGTTTAATAAAACCACAGTGTACACTTGCTCAGAAGTCTAAAATGGTCCCTTCTTAACTGATTGTCAAAATTCTTACTGGCATTCCAACACTTGGCTCCAAACTTCCACTTTATTGTAATCTCTTACTAATTCTGACCAAAAACTCTAGGCCAGAGCTTTCTTACTTTCCCTTCCTTCCAACAACACAAATTAAATTGGATCTTCCTTGCATCTCCTCTTTCTTCACATATACTTGCCCTGTCCTCCTGCCCCTGCCAATTTATCTTCTACATTTTTTCAATTCCAACTTCATTTATTAATCATCCCTGCTTATTTCAACACATGATTCACTAATAAGTGACAGATTTTCATTAAAAACAAAAGTATATATAATTAAAAGTCCTAGTTTTTCTCCCTCCTTAAAACCTGTTCCACCCTGAGACCTAAAGGTGGCATGTAGACCTGTATCTTGACATTTTGGGCAAGATAATTCTTTGTTTTGGTGGGTGGGGGGGAGCTGTCCTGTACATTGTAGGATGTTTATCAGCATCTCTGGCTTCTACTCACTAGACAGCAGTAAGCATTCCCTCCCACCTCAGCTGCAATAACCAAAAATGTCAGCAGACATTGCCAAATGCCCACTGGGAGATGGGGGGCAAATCTGTCCCTGGTTGAGAATCACTGACCTAGGCATTTATATACACATCAAAATATATAGATATAAGTCATTAAAAAAATTCCTGCATCATACTTCATATGGATATACATATATTAACTATATGCCCATTCCTCTACCAGTGGACATTTACTTTGTTTTTTTTTAATCCTTACAAATAATGCTACATAAACATTTTTTATGAGTGCCCTATGTGTATGTATATTGGCATATCTATAGGACAGACACCTAGAAGTGTAATTGTTGGGTTGAAAGGAACGTGCATTAAAATTTTTTTTTTAATTCTGCCAAATCACCTTCTCCAAAGGCTCCTCTAACTTATACTACCACCAAGAGCCTAGATTGGATTTAATCCCAACATTCAGCTCACTTAACACTGGATATTATCAACTTAAAATTTCTGCCAGCCTTACATGTGAAAAATGGTAACTCATCATTTTGTATTTCCAAGATTGTTAGTAATCGTGAAAACTTTTTTTTTGAACTTTAATGGGCTTTCCACTAACTTCTTTGAGGCACCTACTTATACCATCTGCCTCTTGAGATATGTCTTTTACTTGTGATTTGTAGAAGTTCTTTATATAGACTGGATATCAATACAATCTTCTACAAATGTTAAATTTTTTCCCAGCTTATCAGTTGATAATTTGATTTTTTTTATTATGTTTTATCACATGGAATTTTACAGTTATATAATAAACTGTCTCTCTCCTATATGGTTCCTGAATTTTCTGTCTTCCTTTAAAAGATATATTAAGTGATGAAAATAGTTTCTATATTTTCTTCTAATACACTTAGAAGTTTTAAAAATACGTCTTGATACATCTATAACTTGTTGTTATACGTAAGACAGAGATACAACTTTATTCCTTCTATTAAATGGAGGTTAATTATCTCAACATTTCTTGAATAATTATTATTTCTCCATTCATTAGAATTACTCACTTAACAAGTATTTATTTATACTTGTAGTGCTACTTATAAGCCAGGCTCTGTTCCAGGTGATGGTGATACTCCACTGAACAAGACAAACACCATGAGTGCATTAATATGAAGAGAAAATTTCTGAGTATTAAGTGTTCTGAAGAAACACAACACAAAAGCTAAAAAACAAAATATGGTGGTATGTTACAGTGATGTTCTGGTAAATGTTTAACAACTGGCTCTGGTTTGTAGCACTTCTCACTGTAAATACTCCCTCTACCCAATTCTGAACTACTGAGCCATGTCATTGGGTTTGCAAAATTTCCTGAAAATTTAACAACTGGCTTGGGAACAAGCCACCAAGTGCCCCGCTGTGCGACAGTGACCAAGGGGTTAAACTGGGTGGGCAGTCATGGAAGACCTGAGAAGGGATCATCTGAGGATGACAGACAAGAAGCCAGACAGTTATTTGTGAGGGAAATGCAGTTCTGGTGGAAGGAACAACAAGGGCAAAGGCCCTGTGATGCACATAAGCTTGCTTCTGAGGAATTACTAAAAGCTTTTTTCCTTCTGTGTAATCCCATGACGTTTGCAATGCGATCTAAAAGCCTACTGGAAACATTTTAAGACAGGTTCTGTTTGGTAGTAATATCTTGCCTTTCTGGGACTAGCTCTACGTTTCCTTATCTTTGTGACTCCCCAAACATCCAGTGCAGTGTTCGGATGAACATTCTATGACCCTGGGAGCAGCTCCACCTATCTGACTCAAATTACGTCACTCAGATGTCTCAAGAGTATTAAACCAAGGGGTACTGACTTGACGAAGGTGCCTATACTTGCTGAACTTGCCAGTCTGGTATTAAATACAATATATATCAAATCTAAGCACGCTTGTAGAAATACAAGCTTTATTTCATGGGTTAGGGCCATAACCAAGACAGATTATTTTAGTTTTCTTATTTTGGTGTGAAGTAACAGCACAATGAAGGAATCTACTCAGCAATATTCAGAGTACACAGTCAGCATGTGGCATGGTACCTCCCAAAGAGTTTATAACCTGGTTGGGAAAACAACACAAATACACATAAAATAACAGAAGAGTAACAACTATGGTAGTATTAGATCATGTGTTATCATAATTAAGTGCCAATATCAGTGGCACAGACATACATACAAGAGAAAAGCTGTATGTGCTGAAAAAGGTAGAGAAAGATTTATGAGGGCTTCATGGGGCTTAGTCTGGGCCAAGAAAGATTAAATGAATTTTAGTTTCAGTTGAAAAACGCTTTTTTCAAGGGGGAGGTGACTGAAGAGAACAGACTGGGAAAATAGACTGCATTGTGACAGGAATTAGACTGGTTTCATTAGAAAGTGAGCTAAACTGGGGTTAAAGGAAAATAAGGTTGGATAGATAAAACAAAGGTAGACTGTGGAGTAAAGCAGCCTGGTGATTCTGGAGAATCTCCAAAAGCAATGGAGAGGCAACGTGAGTTCCTGAAAGAGGTGGAGATGGACAGAAATTTAATGAAATGCTGTTTTAGGAAAATGAGTCACTAAATACTCTTGTGTCATCAAGGTGACACCCCCCCACCCCACCCCAGAGCTCAGCAACCCACATCCGTGTACGGGTACAGACAGATATTCATTAAGATTACTTTAATAACTACCTTAATTTCTAGAATCTGAAAGTTCTAAGAAAGACATAGCCTATGGGTTGTGCTTGACCGACTCTTAATGAAAAAACGGTAGCCCTGGTTACATTTTAATACTTCTAACTTAAATAACTCTCTCCTCAAGTCATCCCAGAGAGGCAGGAAAGAATACCAGGACTTCAGTCTGTTTAGGAATTTACTTTCAATGACCTAAAACTAGGTCATCTGGGTGATCATATTTTCTGGACTGAAAGTTGGTAGAGATTCTACACAGTAAAGAGTCAGGGTGGGGACGGCTGGTCTTGGGTGGACAAGATGCAACTAACCGGCTCCAGACGTACAGGCACTTACCTAGCAATCCCTTCCTTGGTGTAGAAGACAGAGTAGGTAAGGTTGTCCCCATGAGGATCTGACGCAGGTGTCCGCCATGTCAATTTGATGAAGCGGGTAGAGACCAAGGAGGCCACGACATCCCGAGGAGCTGAAGGCAGTGGTCCAGTTGTGGCTGGTGCTAGATGGTCAGTAGTGGCACTGGTCAGTGAAGTGGGAGGTAATGTTGGGATGGCAACATCTTGTCATGTGCAAATATTGGGGAATATGAAGGGCAAACCACGACGGTTTTAAAAAAGAGAACAGAAAAAACAAAAAACAAAAAAGAAATAAACAAAACCACGATGGGAAATAAAATAAAATGAATGAACATAAAAAAGGCCATTAAACTGAAGGCTAACATGCAGGCCAGGGGTAACTACTGAAAACTAATGGGCACTAGTCAAGACACATCACTGCAGAGCAAGCAGACTTTCTGGTCACTATAATGGGTGTCGGCAAGGGACAGGGAGTGTGACAGCTAAGAATAAAACATTTCACGGAAGGACACATCAGTGTCCAAGTAATTTTCTTTAATTCTGAAAGCAGCATGCAACATCTGTTGAACTTTGCACATAAAAGTCTTATATATGATAAAACCTCAATATTTTTTCCCACTTTATCAAAATATGGAATAATGTTTATAGTATGGATGGGCCTAATTACACTCAACATAGGCCCCACAGACTATCATGACCTCACTGCAGAGCTGTGTGTGCCTTTAGCTCTGCAGGAGATTCAAGAGCCAGATCTTCAACTGGAGTCTAACATTAAAGTTTGCTCTCTGTATTTGGCAATACCCAGGGAAGTCTGATAATCTTTCTCAATTCACTAAGTTATAGTTCATTTCCTCTCATCAATTCATTTGACTACAACAGTATAAAATCGTGCATCACAAATTCCAAAGTCACACAAATATAATACTTATTAGGTAGCATATCTGTTTGGTACAGTCCTCAATGCAGTGTAATAGATTATGACAGCTTGCAGACCCCAGGGACTTGATGGGACAGATGAAGCAGTGGCAAATCAGAGCTCTGCAAGTCGAAAGCCTCTGTCTGTATGCCCGGAGTCAGCCCATCCTGTTGTTGGACACTTCTGACTTTAGAAGTCCATTCCTAATATTAACCTAAAATCTCCTTCACCTTGGAGTATACGTTTAATCTCACAATTTTCAACTGACGGAATTAGAACTCTGTCCTAACCTTAATGGGGAAATTAGAAGAGAGGCAGAGAGGAAAGCATGGCAATTCTGGACCTCGTTTTCAATGAAATGGTAGGACAACCTCCTGAAAATGTCTATGAATTACAGGAGAATCTTTTACAGTGAGGCAGTCTAAATAAATATGCCACAGAGAATAAATTCTCCAAGGGAAAGGCAGAGGAAGACCAACGTAAAGTCTCTAGACAGCTACCATTTATTGAGCACTTTCTACATGGCACTCTCGCTCTTTACATGGACTCATTCAATCCTTACAACTCTGTGAAATAGGTACTATCATTGTATCTCCATATTATATATGGAGACTGACATTTAAAAAAGGCTAAATCACCCTTCCTAGGAATAGGAAGTGGTGGAGTGTTAAAACCAGCCATGGTTTTTAGCTTAAGAGGCCTCTGGATTTAGCCAATAGAAGTTTTTAGTCCTTGTTGTGCCACTCAGAGTTATGGGAGCAGTCAGGGACTCTTGTTTGTTTTTGTCAATTCCCCTTGCCCCCAAGTCTCGTGAAGGCAATGCAAAGGGCCCAGGATGAATGCCTGCACCTGCAGTAGGTGTTACAGGAGAAAAACCCTGAGCTTGTGGGATTTACCACTTTCATAGCAAGGGAAAGCAAGCTCCAGACAAAGAATGGACCTGCTGTGGATATCTTTTTTTTTTTTTTTAACATCTTTATTGGAGTATAATTGCTTTACAATGGTGTGTTAGTTTCTGCTGTATAACAAAGTGAATCAGCTATACATATACATATATCCCCATATCTCCTCCCTCTTGCGTCTCCCTCCCACCTTCCCTATCCCACCCCTCTCGGTGGTCACAAAGCACCAAACTGATCTCCCTGTGCTGTGCAGCTGCTTCCCACTAGCTATCTATTTTACATTTGGTAGTGTATATATGTCCATGCCACTCTATATGTAATTCTGTTGTGGTTGGAGACACACTTTGTATGGTTTCAGCCTTTTAAAAGGTACTGAAACTTGTTTTGTGTCCCAGCATATAGTCTATCCTGACAATTGTTCCATATGTGCTTGGAAAGAATCTGTGTCTGTAGTTGCTGGGTGGAGAGTCTACGATGTCAGCTAGGTCAAGTTGACTGACAGGATTGCTTAAGTCCTCTATACTCTTTCTAATTGTTTTATCAGTTTTTCAGAGTAGGATATTGAAATCTCCAACTGTTATCATTTTTTATGTATTTCTTCTTTGAATATACCAATTATAAATGCATACACATCTAACAGAAGAGCCCCAAAATATATGAATCCAAAGAAATCTGGGAAAACCTCAAATATTTGGAAATCAAAAAACACACTCCTAAATAACCCAAGTCAATGAAGAAATAGCAAGAAAAATTTTTTTTAAATATTTTTAACTGAATGAAATGAAAATACAACATATTAAAAATAAAAAGATGCAGTTAAAGCAGTGCTTAGAGGGAAATTAAAATACCTTTACCAGAAGATAAGTCTCATATGAATTACCTAAGGTTCTACCTTACTGAAGAGTATAGTCCTTAAGCTTTTTTTCTTTTCTTAATATAGCAGGTTAAGCTTTTTCACACACCCAAAAAAGTAACCATGTGAGGTGATAGATGTGTTAACTAACTTAAATGTTGGAATCCTTTCACAATGTATATGTATCAAATCATTATGTTGTACACTTTAAATATATTACCATTTATTTGTCAATTATACATCAATAAAGCTGGAAAAAATTAAATTTTAACCACATTCTTAAAAAAATACAAGGGTAAGAAATTAAGAGAAGATGTAAGCTACCAAAATAAAAGAGGGGACAATGCTATGAATCCCACAGATATTAAAAATTATAAGGGAATATTATGAACAAATTTATGCCAATAAATCAGACAACTTAAAGGAAATAAAAACGTCCCGAGGAGGACAAAAATTACCAAACCTACTCAAGAAGAAACATAAAATCTAGACAGAACTATAATAGATAGAAAAATATAAATAAAAATCTTCCCACAGTGAAAAGTCCAAGCCCAGACGGTTTCACTGGTGAATGCTATCAAATATTTAAAAGAAGAATTAATACTAATCCTTCACAACTCCTTCAGAAAAAGAGTAGAAACACTTCCAACTCATTTTGTGAGGCTAGTATTACTCTGATATAAAAGCCAAAGATACCACATGAAAAGAAAACTACAGAACCCTCATGATCATAGATACAAAAATCTTTAACAAGATATTAGTAAACCATATTTGGTAACATATTAAGAGGATTATAAACCATGATCAAGTACAATTTATCACAGGAATTCAAGACTAGTTTAACATCCAAAAACCAATGTAATATATATTAACAGAAAAAAACCTGATCATCTCAATAGATGCAGAAAAAGAATTTGACAAAATCAAACACCTATTCATAATAAAAACTCTCAACAAATTAGGAAAAGAAGTAAACTTCCTAGACCTAAAAAACCTATGGTGAACATTATACTTAAATGGTGAAGGAATAAATGCTTTTTCCCCAACACTGGAAACAAGGATGTTAGCTCCCACTTCTTATATTAAGCATTGCACTGGTCCAAGCCAGTGCAAGAAGGCAAGAAAAACTGAATAAAGATTAAAAAGGAAAAAGTAATACTGTTTTTATTTGTAATTAATAATTAACTGAGTAGAAAACCCTAATGAATCTAGGATTAAAAAAAAAGCTGCCAAAACGAATAAATACGTTTAGCAAGGTCATAGGATACAAGATCAATATATAAAAAACAACTCTAGGGCTTCCCTGGTGGCGCAGTGGTTGAGAGTCCGCCTGCCGATGCAGGGGACACGGGTTCGTGCCCCGGTCCGGGAAGATCCCACATGCCGCGGAGCGGGCTCGCTGAGCCTGTGCGTCCGGAGCCTGTGCTCTGCAATGGGAGAGGCCACAACAGTGAGAGGCCCGCGTACCGCAAAAAAAAAAAAAAAAAAAAAAAAAAACAACTCTATTTCTATACACTAGGAATGAACAATCCAAAAGTAAAATTAACAACACAACTCCATTTACAACAGCATCAAAAAAGAATGAAATATTTAAGAATAAATTTAATGGAAGAAGCGTAAGATTTGTACCCTGAAAACTACAACTCATTGCTGAGAGAAATTTTTTAAACTCTCAATAAATAAAGATCTAAATGAAAACATCTAAATAAATAAATGTTCATGGATTAGAAGACTTAATGTTGTTAAGATGATTTGCTGCCCCTAAAATTTAATATTAAGATCTGCAAAAGATCTAGAATAGCCAAAATAATTCTGAAAAAGAAGCAAATGGTTGGAGGACTTGGATTACCCGATTTCAAAACTTACTATAAAGCTCTAGTAATTGAGACAGTCCAGCATATGAATAGGCATATAGATCAGTGAAAGAGAACTGAGAGTCCAGAAGTATGCCCCTATATTTGTGGTCAACTGGTTTTCAGCTAAGGTGCCCAGAAGTTTCAATGTGGTAAGAACAGTCTTTTCAACAACTGATGCTGGTACAACTACATATCCCCATGCAAAACAATGAACTTAGATCCTTACTTAACACCACATACAAAGAACTCAAAACAGCTCCTAGACTTAATAGAAGAACTAAAACTTCTGAAAAAATATATAGGGGAAAGTCTTTGTGCCTTGGGTTAGAAAAGTATTCTTAGACATGATAACAAAAGCACAAGATACAGAAGAAAAAAACAGATAAATTGTATTTTATTAGAAATAAAAACTTCAGCACATTAAGGAAAACATAACTAAGTAAATGATAAGCCAGAGACTGGCAGAAAATATTTCCAAAGCGTGTATCTGATGAAGGACTTGAACATATAATTCAGAATATATATTCAGGATCAGAATATATAATCAACTTCTATAAATTAGTAAGAAAACAAGCCAATTTAAAAACAGGCAAAAGACTTGAAAAGTCATTTCACCAAAAAGAACATACAAATGGCCAACACACATGTGAAAATGTGTTTAACATCAATGTCATTA